TGATGGACTTTGCCCAGTTTGGGAGGACCAGGGGGTAGCTAGAATGAACAGAGATATTCAGATGCTTTTAAGTGGGGTAGTGTTGTATATTTCAGGAAAGGACATGGATTTGCTGGTCATGCTGTCAGGTTAACAGATTGGGATCTTGGCTCTGAGATTAGTGATGGAAGGTACTGACCTCAGCATGGGTATGTTTGCTATGAATAAGTATCAACTCAGGGTAAGAAAATGAGTCAGTGCAAGGAGATTGTGCCTGCTGCTGTTGGAGCCCAGGGAGGTCATCAAAGGAAAGATTCCAGTCTATTAAAGGAAATGAAGAGAACAAAAAAACATATTTGAGGATTAGACATGAAATTTGGGATTTAAAGATAGTCATAAACCTTGCAGGCTTCTATCTCATCAGCCTCCTTTCCAATCTGATGAGGAAATATTTCATGAAGAAAAACATGGGGAAACCCTCAAAGTCACTACACTACGCATACCCTTTGTCCCATCGATACCATATATACAAAAAGATCAAAGAGAGAGGTAAAGGATCCATTTGCACAAAAATATTTTTAGTAGCTCTTTTTTGTGTGATGGCAAAGAACTAGAAACTGGTGGGGGGTGGGCAGTGCCCATCAATTGGGGAATGGCTGAATAAATTACGATATATGAATATAATGTAATATTCTTATGGTAGAAGAAATTATAACATGGATGGTTTCAGAGAAAAGTAGAAAGACTTATATGAACTGATGTAGAAATGAAGACTTATATGAATGGATGGTATGCTGAAATGAGCAGAACCAGGAGAACAATTTATCCTACAGCAACAACATTTTTAAAACTTTGAAATACTCTAGACCTCTGATCAACACAATAATCAAATATTTTTCAGAGGACTAATAATGAAAGAGGGAGGGGGAGAGAGAGAGAGAGGCCTAAAAATGCAGAATGAAACTTATAATTTTGGACATGGCCAACATGGGAATTTGTTTTGCTTGACAGCAAATATTTGTTACTATAGGTTTGTTTTTCTTTTTCTTTTTCTCTTTCCAAGTGAGAAGGGGAAGGTGAAAGGAAAAGAAAATCAATCTTGTTAACTTAAAAAGAAATTGAAGTTAACTAAAAAAAGAAAGAAATAGAGTATGGGAAAGCCAAAACAATGGAAACTGGACCATATTGTAAAAGTTCCACAATGCTATTATGGTCATGGATGCAGAAAGAATAATTTCAACTGGGCACTGGGCACTGGGCATCTCTCTAGAAGTAAAATGGGACCTAGGGCAGTGCTAATTCTCTTTTTTTGTTATTTTATGCAAACAGAACACTGCACTGCAAGCTCTTTGAGGGTAGTAACTTTTTCTTTTTGTTTCTTTTCTTATATCCCCTGCCTTCAGTACCTAACACAATGCCTGAAAAGAATAAGTACTTAATAAATGATTATTCTATGAATGAATGAAAGTAACAGTCTCTTGGACCTCTTTGTATCCCTAGACTCCAACATGCACTGTAGGCACTCAATTAATCTTTATTGATTTTGTTAATAATATCTGGATATTGGGTACTGACTGGAAAAGTCTCATGATTATCATGTCTCTAGAATAAGAAGTGAAGAGAATACATGTTGAGACACCTGCTCAAAGCTATACTAGCACTCCATGTTATATTGCTGTGAGTCATTTTTCTGTTTTCCAACCAATATGTCTTCAAATCTGAGCCCTGGTTTTCCCCATCTGTAAAATGGAGCAGGATGAGATGGAGGGAGGTTCCTTTAATGAAACATTTCCTGACTCCCTCCAATACCCCACGTGAAAGTGATCACAGAAAGTAACATGGTCCAATGGTTGGGATGTGGAATCAACAAACCTGAAACAAATCTTGGCTCTGTCACTTTCTACCCGGCCTTGGTTTCCTAACTGGTAAAATGATGCATTTGGACTTAATAGTCTTCAATGTCCCTTCCATTCCAAAATCTATGCTACTATGGATTCATCTGACCCTTTTGCCTGGCCATCACTTTTGCACCTATCACACTTTCCTTTGTTTCATCATTGCTTATGTGCTTGTCCTTCTATCCGTTAGATTACAAACTCCTTGAGGAGAACCTATCTGTGTGGGTATTTCTAGGACTGAGCACAGGACCTCGTGTGAAGTAGACATTTAATAAATTTGGTTGAGTTGCATTGAATTGGACTTAAACTACTCCCTTCCTGGCCTAGGAACCTAGTATTTCCTTCTTGCAATCATCCATTTTGATTAGCATTATATACTAAGGTACTGAGATGATGCAGAATAGAATGATTGGGAAGCTGGGCCACTCAATTGGCCAGAATGAAATTATTCTTTCCAAAATAGAAAGGTTCACATTACTATAGATTGCACCTGGCTTTTTCACTAAGGCCAAACTTCCTGTGATCCAATAAACAAGACCAAATGGGGTAGCAACATGATGATCAGGAGCATA